GCCTTTCTCCCCATCGAGCCAAAGAGGAGGTAAAAACACCGTAAAATCCCTCAGACGATATTGATCCCGCGGAGATAGTACCGAAAGGGGGAAACGGAAGGAAGCGACAACCCAGGATTATATAGTTTGGGATTCACGGGCGTCGCTTGAGTTCGTTTCCGGGCTTAGTGCTTCTCCCTCGCCCGGTCTTGGCCCGCTCTTGTGCTCGCTTGGCTCAGGGTATATTATTTTCCGTAGGTTTTCACTGTGGATTTGAGTTATTTGTGTTTAAATGTTTGATGCCAAGTTTTGCGACTCGCGAAGGTCTGGGTCAGCGAGGCGTGACCTGAGGTGACCTCAGGGGAGTTGTTTGACCTTTGATGAGTTGTGGGTTAATTGCTGCCTGGAGAATAGGCTGTATTCTTAAAAATGTATGTGCAATCTGTGGCCCATAAGATGAAGAAAATAGTTGTTGGAGAGGGGACGAAATGAGGGGCAAAGTTTGTTTATTAACGTGAAATACTCGGTAGATGTACAGCTTCTAGGGAACAGACATTACTGATTGTTAATCTTGAACTGGTAATGTAGAATCCTTTATTCTGTAATTATCCAGACAAAGGTCATAGTAACCATTGTACTTAATACTCTAAAATCCTTTATTCTGTGATTAGTTAGACTAGGACCAGTATCCTATGTCCACATCAACGAAGGTAAACAGACCTCTGGCATGATGGAGCTTGGGCTAGTTCCTGTTAACAAATTACTGGGAAGATCATAAAGCTCAGTCTCTAGTATATATTTGGTGGAGGCCTAATCCCCATTAGGCCACCGAAGTGTGAAATGTAGTGGCCAATAAATGGCTTGGTGGGCTATGACCAACAGTCGTGAATTAGATTTGTTTTTTGGGTATTGTATTTCTACTAGTTAGTATTTATTCAGACTAGCCATTTACTGCAAAGGGACGTATTTTAGCAGGACTGAGCTTGCACTGGTTCTCAAACCCCCTTGGTGATATATCAAGTAAAGAATGAGTTCCAGATCTATCTTGCCTGAATATTTGGTGAAGATTTGAAGCTAGAAGTGCAAAGTGCAGAAGTTAGGGTATTTGTTACAGAGGGCAACACACACCCTCTCAAAGACTACGTTAAAAAAAAAAATTCTGCTGGATATCCAATGATTTCATCTATTCTCGGCGTTGTTTCTTCTGCGAATGAAGTGTTCATGAGATCGAGTACCATTTCTCCATCGACGATTTTGATTTGTTAGTCCTGTTAGCAGGGGAGGGCATGAAGTATATCTGGAAAATTATGGGGTAAAACAGGCATAGATAAGAAGAATAAAGATATAAGAAAAAAACATAAAACTAGCACAAAAAACAAAATCGGCCAATGAAACTCTACGGATGTAACCACTATCTTTGAAATTCTACGGGCTGATGCGCCAGAATTCAAAAACTATATGGGAACCCAACCCATGTTTCGGCAAAACTTCAGGAATTCACATGTTCCAAACCCTGCAAAAATGTATTGACTAATAAACCAGCCTACTTTAGTAATTTAAGATGCCGTGACTAGGCGTGCCGTTTGGGCAAACTTTCGTTAGCCTTTTTCTACCATCTGGATTGCTTCAATTTTAATTATATTTTTTGGCATTTGGAGCTCTTGGTGGGCCCAGATATTAAACTGGGATGATACTGAAGTCTTTTTTATCTTCTTTGTCATTGTATAGTCTTAAGAATAACTCAGAATGAGCACAGCACTGGAAACGCTATATTTCTTACTGGTGTTACACCTCGAAATGAGCGGGCCGGCATCTGTCAAGCAGGCAAAAGGAAGTGTGAAATTCACAATGCGCACAATTCTGAATAAGGTTATAAATCAATCTTAAAACGCGTATATGAAGTAAAATAACATTAATAAAAGACTTTAAGAGGATAAATGTGTAACAGTACACACTGATAAGTAGCCAAATAATATTTTGACATGCTTGTAGTAACACTGGTACTACTTAGGGCATCGCAGTAAGGAGTTTGTGGGTCAGTGTTGTTTTTCTTCACAATGTAAACGAGGTGATGGACTAACAATTTGAAAGGCGAGCGCATGTTATATTTTCGTCATTTAGCGGTAAATATGAGGCCGTTGCAGCTTAAACTGTTCTATCCCACTCTATTTTGTCTCTATAAGATGGCATTGTCCATTTGTCTCTATGCTGGACAGTGTCTTCAACTTCTACTGAAGTTAGAAAATTACTTTTGTTGCCAGCATATCTTAAAGTTATGGTAATTCTTTTCAGTATTTCTTGTACAGTGACTGCATTTTTGTCCTCTACGAAAATATCATATTCAATTGGCCCTAACTTAGTTCGTCCATACCGTAAAGCTTATCCAAAAGTTACTAATGCTAGTTCCTATACTGAATATAGTAGGCTGACAAATTTATGTAGATACGGTAGGAACATGCACCCCCTTTTTTTTATAGATTTGATGTACTAACTAAACAGTGCCGCCACCGCCTTATTAGCATTTCATGCCAGCTTATAGAAAATGGACTTTAAGAACTCTGGCTGTGTGTTGTGTTGTACTGCAGATATTTTTGTCACTTCAAGGTAGAAATGAGGCTGCAGTAGTTGTACCTGTGTTGTTTATGACTCTCCCATCTTTTAGAGCATAAGAAATAGTGCACATTTCCCTCTATCTCTATGCTTCACTTTCGGAAACCTGAACCCCTTGAATTCAGTTGCTTCACAGTAATCACATCGACCCAAATACGGGCTTTCATAAGCAGCTACTCTGCTGGATGTGTGACGTGTAGGCTGAGTGCACACAAACACTTGCGTGTAATGACAAGATTATGCCTCCACTTTGCATTATTTTGCATTTTGCATTTGCTTTTTGCTATTTTCCAATGTCCAGATTTGTCTTTTGATTAACTTTATCGAGATGGTAATAGAGTGCATTCCTTGCAGACTCAATATTGTGTCTTTGTTGTAAATAGCTCAGGTGATAAAAGTAAGTTTGTCATTTTTGTGATATTCCTTTTTCTGTTGTACAATCTGCACTGCTAGTCAGTGGTCAGGAATAGGATGCTGAGCATCAAAATGGCAACCTCCCTGGAGCCAGCTCTTTTCCAGTCATGGCTCGTGGACATTTCATTGTACACGTCTAATGGCGGAAATAATGCAAAAGCTGCTTTCTAAACACCAGATGATTCAGATCATCGTACAAGAGGTTTGTGCACTGTTAGCAAGCCTTTCCTGTCACCCTGGCCTTTGCTCATAATGGCAATTCACTTCACCCAGCTTGCGGTAATTTTTTCCCATGGCAGCATGTTCACATCACCTGGCCCTCAAGCCAAATTTTTTCATGTGTGGGTCATGTCACCTGGATAGGAGGAGTTGACCCAGAATTAGAAAAGCTTCAAGAAATGGTGATATACTGACTAAGATAGCACTATATGCTGACAAGGCTAGGTTTAGGATAGTTTTATGAATATTAGTGTAATGATACTTGCTAGCTTCTTGTGAGAAAGTTGAAAAACAGTGCATTGAGGAAATTATCAGTTTAATTAACCACATGCTGATGAGGAGGGCATGTGTGTAGAAGCCATGCCCACTGTATGTTTAATTTAGTAATTTTTTAAACATTTAGATGGCTTCACAAGTACTAGGTCACCAGTCTGATGTGTTTACCCTTTTCCCTGATTTTTGACATTGATTTCTAGTAGTTAATACTGCTGTTAGTAATGTCAGTAACACTATAGTTATTATAATGTTTATGAAAACAAACAACAAAACATCAATATTGATGGCAATAGTAAAAAAAGTGTTTTCCTACTATATCAAGAAAAGGTGAGGTCACATGATCTTCTGATGGACCTTTGTGACTAAGAATAGGCAGAGCCATCAATGTGCAGAAACATTGAACAAAATACTAAACATTTTCTGGGGGCATTGGGTTAAAAGTAATCTGAAATCTTTATAGATTATTAGGAAATGTACTAAATATGTTGAATTCTGTTTGTCTGAAACATAAATATAACTTGTTTTGCATAGAAAAACATATTGCATTTGTGAATATTTATTCATAAACCTTTCTCTTTCTTTCCAGAGAACAAGGTCAAAATGCCCGTTCGGGGGAACACATTTAAAATATTTGTAGGGAATTTAAGTGACCGAGCCACTGGGCAAGACATTAGGGAATTATTTGAACAACATGGCACAGTTGTAGAAGCAGATGTCGTGAAGAATTATGGCTTTGTACACATGGAAAAGGAGGAGGAAGGCCAGGCTGCGATTGAAGCGTTAAATGGCCACTCCCTACATGGAAAGGTAAGGAATGCCTGAAGTAAATTTTCATTTTAGCCGGTCTGCAGAATAGAACTACACTTCCTTACAGATGTATTAAAGACTCAGGAAAATGCTTATTCATGTATTTCTCTTTACTAGTGCATTTGGCTTAATTCTAGGAATTACTTTTTCACACTAGCTGCTCTCTGTGGATGTATCTGAATTAGCAAAGAGTAAAGGATTTGAACTGATAGAAGATATATTACTGAAAAAATTATCGTAGCATTCAGATGAACAAGATATCTTTCAGGATAGATAAATGGGAAAAAGATGCTTTTAGATATTGCAACCTTTAATTTATGAAAAATGGATCTTCTAGTATGGTTGAAATTAATTAAGCATTTATCAGTCCTGCACTTTGAGTTTTGATAATGATAGCCAATGTTGGGATTATGAATTTAGATGACCAGCTTGGATAAGTGGAATTAACTGATGAGTTTATGTAAGATTCTTAAATATGCATATTAAATTTACATATTGAATGATATAATCAAATTTTGTCAGCCAGTTGTGAAAAATGGTAAAGCTAGGATTTTTGATAGTGATTATCATTGTTGTTGTTTTTTTTTTTTTTTTTTTTTTTTTCTTTTTTCATAATCCTGTTTTTCCAGCCTATGGTTGTTGAAGCTTCCACTGGGGCGAGAAAAGGCGGCAACCAGAAAACCAAGATCTTTGTAGGCAATTTGCACAAGGACACAAAACTGGAAGAGTTGAAGAGTCTATTTGAGGTGTATGGCTCCGTGGTCGAATCTGACATTCTCACTAACTATGCATTTATTGTAAGTCAAATACTAAATATGTTTTTTGCATGTAAACTTCTAAACAATGACACTGTATGTCCTTTGGTATCTGTTGTTTTTAATTCATCTCTTTTCTGTGAAAGGAGGAATAATCATAAATTTTTTATAGCACATGGATGATGAGGCTCAAGCCCAAAGAGCCATCCGGGAACTGGACGGATATGAGTTACACGGTCTGCGGCTGCGAGTTCAGGAATCCACCTCTCGAGTAAGACAACAGGCCGGCATGGGTAATCCAGACATGTGTTACCGTTGTGGCTCTGGAGGTCATTGGTCAAAGGAGTGCCCTCGGGACGGACGCATGGGAGGCTCTCGTACCCTGACGTGAGAGAGGGGGAGAAACTATGGCAGCCGCTATGACCCATATCCCCCACCACCCCCTCCAAGCTACGCCAGAGAACGCATGATGAGATACAGGGTAAGCTGTAGGGGTTTTAGATTGATATCTATTATTTATTTTATTAAAATGCTACTCATTTTTATAAATTTCATATGAATTAGAATTGGTTAATTCCCATGACTTCATCCTAATGTATTTTTCTTCCACAGGATGATTTTGACAGGTATGATCGCTATGACCGTTACTATGATGAGGGTATGTATGAACGCAGATATGGGGATCATCCTCCCCCACCCCCTCCAATGCTTGATGACATCTATGAGCGACGTCTTCCTCCCCTTCCTCCTCACCCAGACTACCTGCGCTATGGCCGTCGCTCTCCACCTCCTCGGTGAGTGTTAATGAGATTCTTTTGATGGGGGAAAGGTGGAAATTACAAAGGTTTGATTTGCCAGTTTTCTTTTTTTTTTTTTTTTTTTCTTTGCCTTTTTATAAATTTTGTGAATTTGATTAGTAATAGGTAAGACTGAACTGGGAAGTTGAGGAATAGTTTTATTAATAAAAATGTTAGAAGGTTTTGATGAGGTATTCTTCGATAGGTAGAGTATAGAATATATGTTTCTTGTAAACATTAAAAATAAAAAAATTTAGTGTATGGGGTATAGCTCATTCCATCTGAGGAGCATTTGAAACCCACATCTCTAACATTGTGCTTTTCTTTATTTGCCTTTTGATTTTGTATTGTGTGAACCTCAGTAAAAAAAGAAAAAGAATGATGTTAATAAGAAATCCGAAGGGATAATGACAGGTAAGAAATGAAAACTCAGTTGGTAAATGACCCAAATGCATTTTTGTTCCAGTTACCCACCACCGCCACCACCTCCAATGCGTGGGTAAGTAGATACGAAGACTTTGATGTTAGAAGAATTTCAGGCACAGTTCATGTAGTCTTAGTCAGATCTAACCTTCTTTTGACAATATCTGTACAGCAACCATAGGTACTTTAATAGATAAACTGAAGGATTTAGGAATCTTTGTGGTAATTTCATTATTGACATAGTAAGGGTACAGGTGAGAACTAACTCCCACCCCTTCCTTATTGCCGCAGTTACGGCCCACCGGACCGTCGGCCGTACTAAGCGCGCGCCGTACGCCGGGACCACCGCCACTGAGCCCTCGTTCATTGGTGCGGACGCGGTAGTGTGGCATCAGCGTGTATTTGTAACGTCTCGTGTAGCGTCCGTGTCGGCTCCGCCCGGATCCGTAGCGCCGCCGTGGCTACGTCGTGCCGCGCTGCTCTAGCAACAAGGGATGGGCATACGAAGCTCATTCATGATACCCCCCACGGGCATTAATTGCATATATCATTGTCAGTCCGATTATTAAATCTCTTACTTTAGGGATAGTAGTGATTTTGATTGTCATGTCGATTCTTTTTCCGTTAGTTTTAGGAAGTATTCCCTAAGTTGCCTGTTTTATATTTTGGTTTGTGATGTAGATCATGGACTTTTAACATTATATTGTCAATGTTGAAGCTATTACAAATAAAGAAAGATATCGTAATTATCACTCGTTTGTTTTACTGAGTATAGCACTCCTTCGAGATGTAAAACTTCTGACTTTTATGTCTCATATCTATAGTAAGAGCTTTCTTATTGATTGGACAATGATAGCACATATCTGTGTCCGAAGTAAGAGCAGTTGCCCGTTCGGTTGATGTCGGTAAGTTACTACTTGGACGGAAAGTATTCAAAGGACTGAAGCCGCCTTTTTTTTTCATTGCGGAACTGAAGTGCAGAGTTCTAGCCAGCCGTTAAATAAAACTGAGCCTTTGAATTTCCTTCAGCCGGTATTTAGCTTAACACTACAAGTGGAAATGCCAGTAATTGGTTTGATTCTTTTGGATGTGTGCTTAATTTTCTCCCGGGTTACACACATAGGAACCAGCTGGCCAGAGCACTGTAAGAAGATGAAGTAAATCACAGAATGCTGTATCAGTACAAATAGTTAGCTCTAAGGCCGGGAGCATACCAGAAGCTTAAGGAAGAGGGTTCTTACTGAATATGAGACATTGTGCTTCGACGTTTACATATTTGCCATACTGGAATTTTTTTGATATTGTGACATAAAATTCATGTGATCTAATTATTTGTCACCTGTAATGAGATAGCACCCTGTCAAATTATATGTCAGACTAAATCTTTTATTCAGAGAATTGAGAAAGAATAATGCTTTGTAGTTTAACTTTACCCACTGTGTCCCCAGGCGACTTCAGGTGTGACAGTTTTCGAGATTCAAGGCATATAAATCTTACATCACACTTAGGTAAGGTTGGTAAGTTGGACTGCTAGTGACATTAACCTAAAAACTTCTGAAGATTTATGTTTATGAACATTAGGTAGGAATATGGATGTACTTTCTATAAATCATGTCTTGATGAGGTTAAGATTTGATTTAGTAATCTTTAAATTTTTAGATGTCATAGGATAATGTACCATATATTTGAGGCTTGCCATACTACCATTTGATCTTAATTAGATTTAATGTGATCATTCAAAGTAGAAATTCAGAAAAAATTACTCTTGGCATAGGAATTATTTAAAATTTAGTCACAGGTAGGAGTTGCCAATGACAATCCAAATTGATGTTACTGTTTTTCTGTTTTAAAGGGCATACTGATCACTTTTATGAATGGCATGTAAACACTAGCCAGTCATCAACATTTTGTTTATCCATTTTGGTGCCGTTGTGTCAGGAAGTCATAGTTATACAAATAAGTTCATAATCTCTACATCATCTTGATCCATACTTTAGAAATGTAGTGAATGTTGAGGTGTACAGAAGAATGTGCAAAGGTAAATTTTGAAAGGCTAGCACATAACTATTGGAATATATTGATAACAAGGTATTGATTATTAGCAATGAGATTCTAACTTTAAAAATGTAGGAAGTTAAATTATGGGAGTTTGTCCATATATCCTCTAGCATCATTGATTATAGACAGCAATGCCAGTTTCCTCATTTGTAGTAAAGATTTAGATCTATTTTGACTTTTGATATAGTTTATTCATTCATGCTTTTGTTATTAACCACAGGTCCATTGATTTTACTTTGTTTAAAATTTATTTCTGTTGTCATTTAGAAAGAAATCTGTGGAGTTCGCAGAAAGAAATTGATTAAGCTTGAAAACTTTATGGTTATTTGCTAATAATATTTCATAATAATTTTCTCTATAATTCTCAAATTATACAGCATTCATAGATATTATTAAATGTATCTCTCCTTCCCATGCTTTGTTACTTGGAAAATATGAGAACAGACCTGGGCATTTGCTTGTCACTTGTCATGATAAGATTTACGTCATGATAAAGATTTACTCTAAAATAATCACTACAATGACGTAACTGAATAACACACAACCATCTTTTATTGAAATTGTGGTTCTGGTCTATAGTTTAGGTGGGTAAACTAAGGAGCATTGATTTACTTTTATTTACACATTAGTTTCTCTTGGTGTGTATATTTTTTTTACAGGCCTGGTTTACTTTTCATATATTTACTTCTCACTGCATTTCCATTTTTTATTTATTTGCATTTTTTAATTTATCATCATCATCATCATTTAGTGCATATTGAGGGGAGTAGGAGGTATAGCACTGCCAAAGAGTTAAGGATCACATTCAGTGAGTGTATGAAGTAGGTACGGTACATTTGTAGGGAAGTTAAACTAGTTAAATTTTTAAACTAATAGGCCATATTCATAGTATTCCAATTTAATGTAATGGTACATTTTGTACTGCTAGGAAAAATTTGATGTACTAATTATTAGTGAATCTTTTTCATTTTTTTATTAATACCATGACCTTGACAGGTATTTTTTATATCTTAAAGTGAAGTCAGTTAGCAACTAATGTTTATTTAAATGTAAATATTATCAGTGATTGCATGATGTTGTCTACCTTTATTAATTGTATGTGCACATTGATGACTCCATTAGAGCTGAGTCCCCAAGTCAATTACTAGTATTATTCGTCACCCATATTCTCTACCTGAATATTCAAGTTTTTTTCTTGAATTTGTTTTTAATTACATTGTAATAATGACTATATTAATTGTTGTAGCATAAAAATTTAAATTTAAGAAATGGCCAAATCAGGTTAGTTAATATTTTATTGCTAATAATAGTGGTAATAGGGTTAATATTCAAGCTTCAGAAAAACTAGTGAATACAAGGAACGGGAAAGTCAGGGATGTCATGTAGGACCACTTATTGGCCCCCTTGGTGACTGAGTGTGGAGCAATCTGTAAACAAAATAAGATAGTGGACAGCAAGCAGCATTGGTTTAACAAAATTAGGATTGTCATTTGGGTTAATGGATTGAAATAATAGCAATAAATAGGTTTGATCAGCATTCAGGAATCTCGGGGCTACAGCAGATAATGGGAACATTAATTTTTTTGTTTTATTTTTTGTCTGATTGTCAGGAGTTTCAGGCAGACATTCAACAGGAATAACATTGAAATGGCACCGTATGGTCTCCAAGTAAGTGTGTGTATGAATTAAGGTAATGTATTATCTTGCAATGTATTAGCAGGAAATATTTTAGTGTAGCATTTCAGAATACATTAGGTTAGTAGGGAAGTATTTTAGTATAGCATTTCAGAATGAGATTATTAGAAATATTTTTGTGTAGCACTTCATGCCTAGCAGTTTTGTAGATAAGGTATAGATTTTCATCTCCCTTTCGCTCCCCATATACGGTTTTCAAAAATTTTAGAAGTAAAGTATGAAGTTAGTGACTTGTTTAATTCTTATATTTTCCCACCCACTAGACGCTAATTCATTTATTTTTTTTTTATAGAATTCAGGATTTTTTGGTGATGAAAGTTGAGACAGTATAGCCAGTAGCGTTATAACAGGTTATGATTATTAGAAGTACCATAGGTGTGAATTGTGGTAGGTATGAGTGTAGCACAGAGAAGTTTGGGTAATACATCAGGGAAGTTGTATTAAGATATGTGGTATTCCCTTTATTGATGTATTGACAAATGGTATTTGTTATATATTTCAAAAATAAAATCATTAAAGGTATTATTTTCTCTTTAACCTTACTCTACCTGTTGTATCTGTTTAAACAAGCAATGTTAAAAGAATTATTTTGTAGAAGGAATGAAATGGCGAACATGGCAGTTCAATCATTCATAATAGTACACCATTAAATGAATACATAACAATTCAGAGTGATTTATTAGAGAACAAATTAGCTTAGAACTTTGAAAGCAAATTTGCTTGTCTGCAAAAGTTAAGTAAAAAAAAATATGCAACAAGTTTTATGAAAATGAAAGCCAGTGCTTCAGTAAACATGTATTTTTTATTTACACTTTTCTGTTCACAAACACCAATATATATTAGGTTGGAAAGTTAATTTAGTAGCTTCTACATATAACACTTAGGCTGATGGCCTTTCCTTCCCCCCCTTTTATCTTTTCTTCAATCTACTAAGATATGAGAGCCGTCCTGAACAGCCTCCGGGAACCAATTGTCAAATTATTTCCCTTTGTCCAGTCCTTACCCCTTATGGGTAGAGACTTTCCTTTCCCCATTGATTTCAGGCTCACCAACTAGCCTATGTCATTTTGATTTTTCTGGTTTCACGACCCCTGCCTCTCCTTTGACCACGGCTCCGTTCACTAATACTAATACCCCCCTTCTGGATGCATCAACCTTATTCATTCCGAATCATCCACCAGGTCATTACTCAACCTTCAGAATACACCCCTTCTTTGTCTCCCAACATCCCCTATTCCATCTCCTGCACAGTCTTCATTGTCTACTCCCCTTATCACTACTCATCCTTGTTGTCTTCACGGTACTACCTCGCTCCACAGGACTCCATCTTCCTCCAGTCTTCGTTCTTCTACTACTTCCACCTTTTGTATACGCTTTTTTGGCGAAGCGGGATCGATTTTTTGGGGATTCCACCTACAACTCTCTACTCTGACAATTTCCTTTTCTTCCAACAATGTCTCCAAACAGACAAAATTTCCTATCTTTCACACCATGTTACAGTTAATCCGAATCTCAGCTCGTGCACACACTATCCTGACTGACCTCAATGGCAAACCCATTCCTGCCCAACCTCGCTCCTCTCTTAATACTTGTATCGGAACTGGTACGGTCTCCCTGATTGATTTTCCTATCTACGACAAGGACTGCTCAGACTATGAAAATGACCTGCTCGCCTGCCTTGTTGACCATGATGTAGTGGCACTACAATGCTACACTATTCCCCCTGGAGGTCAGCGTAAATCCTACACTAATATTGCCAAGTTTGTTTTGTGTAGACATGGACTCCCCCATGAAGTTTATATTGGTGGAGTGTCCTGCCCTGTGTGATCATATCGACCTCTTCCTCGTCAATGTTAGAATGTTTTTTTTTGGCCACACAGCCAAACACTCGCTTCACAGCCTTATGTGCTCAACCTGGATAAGACCGTTCAAATTGTTCTGCTCATGCACTTACGTGTGCCAATTATGGTGGCTCCCATAATGAATTTTATAGAAGAAGCCTTACCCATAAGCTCAAATCTCAGATAGCATTTCTGATTCAAATTAGGCATTACAACGTGAGGTCAAACAGGAAGCGCATCGACGAGGTACTGCTCTCTACCTATTCCAAAACTGTCCACTATGCTCTTCTCAAGATGTCTCAGCATCTCCTGTATATCTTCTCGCTCTATCCTGAACCTCTACTCCCCTTCTCTCGTTTAAATCCGAAATAAGTTGACACAGCATTATAAAAAGGATTGCAACGCACAATTATCATAATTTACATAAGATGCTGACTTCTTGATAAGAAATGCAAGGGAAGAATGTATTGTGAAATGAGTGAATAATGACAAGGAAAACACGAGTAAGATATAAAATGTAAAATTAATCATAAGGCCAAGGTTGTTACTGAAGGTTGCTTAAGACTTATCTAAAAGGGTAAAATATAATGAGAAGACCCCTAAGTACGTATCAATATGACATCACTCAAAATAGTCCACAAATTAATTGACAAAACGAACAGTTGGATGACGAACCAACTTTTCCTGCAAAGAGTGAAGTGAAATGAGTAAATAAATAATGTTGGTAGAAGTTGGAAATGAAATAGTAAAAATGAAGTATAAAAAAAGGGATAGAAAGTCCTGCACCGTGAAAGAACGTTGCGATTGTTCCTCCAAATGAAGCATTGGAAAGCTACCGACCGCAAAACAAGAGAGGCTGTGGTTGCAATTCTTTCGTGTCTCACCGTGAATAAAAAAAAAAAAAAATCACGGGCGTGTAGCTAAATTCAGACAAATTCTCTATGTTAAAGATTTCGCAATTGGTTTGTATTTGAACGTGACAAGGGAGACCATTCCTCCCTAGGCTTCCTATTTTCCGTCTATCTTGCGCTATCTTTTGTATTTGCTTGCCTCGTTATGGATCTGAGGAAGAAATAAATACCGGAAACAATGAGAAAAGTAATTGAACTGAATGGAGCTGGTCACTAAGCTAAGGAAATGATGGCACTGTCCTGTGTTCAATCCAGGACATGGCTGTGTTAAATATTACTGCCACCTTTACCGAGTGGACGGAAGAACGGAGACGCCACTTCTGAAAGTTAAGGTTGAAATAACTAAATAATTACATTTATGAAGTATTTATCTTATTTTGACTTTGCTAAAATGATCCCGGAAGGCCCCAAGAAACACCTCAATGACCAAACAATAATTAAAAACGGAGGCTAAATCTTTTACCTATGCACATGAGGGCCAGGTTAACCCAAGTAACCGTGTTGTTAAAGCAACTCATTAAAACACTAGTTAGCACCGCTATTTCGTCCATCTAATAGCCAGCTTCCTCCAATCCTAATTATTTCCCCCACTAGTTCATAATATGATTTTCCTCCTCAAACCTACTAGGAAAGCAAACCCCAAAAACTAACAAGGCAGACCGAGAGCCACGGGAGAGAGAAAAAGGTCCTCCCATTGTCACGCGCAAACAGGAACTCATTAGGGGCTTTTGGACTCCAACGTATTCTGTCCCACCGATTCCTAATACGACCATTTTATTATGCGTGGGTAGAAAATTTGGAATGAAGATTTGACAATGGTGCTACCTGACGAGTACACACGCACACATGATTTAGCCATATATAATTACATATGTACTTGCCTATCTATCTATTTATCTATAGCGAACAAAGAACCAAATTATGTAACAGGAAGTCTTCCGTTCTGAGGCTTCGAGTTTAAACGTGCGAAAATTTGTTTCATTTCAAAATTATATAATAGTCACAAAACAGCATCATCAATAATGATGAAAATGATACTGAAAAATTTCTACCGCTTCAACATCTAAGTTCATTAGCGGCGTTTTCAAAATCTAGCAATATGGCTTGTGGACGAAGCTTCCAGGTAAGAAAGGTTATACAGCACCATGATAAAACAGTGCGTCGAAAAGGGTGTAATACGTTAACTATTAGGACCAAGTACTTTTGATGTCAAAGGTAGAGCGCTGTTGCTATGGTAATGAAAATGGTAAAGAGGAAAGAGCAAAGGGGGTTTGAGGGCCGTTCAGGACTGATAAAGCCAGCCTTTCATCCTTTCAGCACGGCTTTCGCACCTTAGGATGTGGACAGAAGAAGGGATGAGAAGAGAAGGAAAGGAGGAGAGAGGAGAGAGGGAGAGATGAGGGAGGAGGAGAGAGAGAGAGAGAGAGAGGAGAGAGAGAGAGAGAGAGGGAGAGGAGGGAGGGAGAGGGAGGAGAGGAGAGGAGGGAGAGGAGAGAGAGAGAAGAGAGAGAAGAGAGAGAGAGAGAGAGAGAGAGAGAGAGAGAGAGAGAGAGAGAGAGAGAAGAGAGAGAGAGAGAGAGAGAGAGAGAGAGAGAGAGAGAGAGAAAACAGCTAAACCAGTTGAGGCAAAGCTGAGGTCCAAGACAGGGGTGATCTACAATGGTCCTCAGTCTCCGTCTCCTTAGCCCCCCCCCCTAATGGCAACAACGAGGAAGAGGCTGAGGATGATGAAAAAGATTATAAACCTCCTACGCGTTAAAAATAATTCAGACACGAAACAAACACATGGAACCCTCAAAATTTTAGTGCTTTCGGTATTTTATATTAATTACAATCACGGAAAACTAACAAGCTAAACAACGCCGAATTCATACCGAACCGGACACCTAAATAAACGCCGGATTCGCCCCCCTCCCATAAAAAAAAAAACGAGAACCCCACTTTTTAAACTAACCCCCACACACACACACTCCATGGCCCGTTGTCGTGGAGGGCTTAGGAGACGGGGACTGGGGGTGCTGGGTTCACCCCTGCCTTGGGCCTCAGCCCTCGATTCAATTAATTTTGCATTTTTTTTCTCCCACATGCTCCTTCCTCCCACGCTCACAAGAAAACATTTGTCTCACAAAACTCTCCAACCAATTCTACTACCGAAATTATTGAAAGATAAAATACACCGAAACCTCTCGCCCACCCTTAATTTCCACAACTCTCG